TGTATCACCAGCCTCTGAAGCAGTAGACCTGAACATCAACTCAATCACACTTGAAGGAGAAGTTCTGGAAGAGGTAGACAGCAGCACCATCGGTGGATAAGGAGGATCTGACGCAGATGTAAAGGTAAGGATTGGCAAAACAACGACAGCATTTCTACAGTTGAAGAACATGTACAACTCAAAACAACTGTCAACTAACATCAACGTCACAATCTTCAACACGAACGTTAAGACAGTTCTACTGTATGAAGGTGAATATTTGAGAACTACCACAACCATCATAAAATATGTATAAGTATTTACAAGCAATTGTCTACACAAAATACTATCGGGGCCAATCTACCGTTGGAAAGAACAAACCGGCTTCCATTTGAGAAGGAAATTAGGAAATGACGTTGTATGTGGACAGAACATGCATTATGGAAATCACTAAACTGCATCACGGGCAAGTGCTAACTCGGAATCGTGAAGGGGAACGGGAAAGAGGAAGACCAATGAACACACTGCGTTGGAAATTGAAGGCACACATGAAATAGATGAATAGAAAGTGGAAACAACTGTAAAGTATTGTGCAGCATGGAGCTGGTTGTAGAATCGTAGTGGGAGACTTATACTGCTCCACGAGGGTTAACGGGCGTAAGCAAGTTAGTTAGTTTGTAGGATAATAATCACTAAAATCTAAAAGTTGTTTAATTTTTACTTATCGTTTCAACTTACCAATGCAAGACTTCTCACGTCTCGTAAAATTTCAGTCTTTGCAACACCAGGATGGACGCTAACAACAGTGATTCGACTATCATGCAATCGCTCACTTAATTCAACAGCATGCATTGTATTAGCTAACTTTGAAAGACAATAAGCTTTTACCTCACCATATTTTTTTGGTAGAATTTGCAAATCTGGTTTAATTAAACGGCCTCTGTAGTGTGCTTTTGATGACAGAATAATGATTCTCGATGGCATCGAATGCTTTAATAAAGGTAATAATAATTCCGTTAGAAGGAAATGTCCAAAGTAATTAACACCCATTGTTATTTCAAAACCATCAATAGTTTCTTCATATTTACTAACTGCAAGACCAGCATTGTTAATAAGAAAATGAAGTTCTGAATAATTGACTATGATTCGTCTAGCAAATTCTCTGATTGATTGTAGAGAAGCCAAATCAAGTTGTTCGATGATTAGCTGAAGGATAAATTGGAAGTATTTTTTGTATAGATTATAACCATAGACCACATGTGATGAAAATGAAGTTGAAACAACATATATAAATGGACAATATTGTTTTCAAATAGTTCTTCATCAGGCCTTACTCTAATATACGGTACTAGTAATATGATGGTTTAGGAAAATACAGGACCGGTCAAGGTAGTTTGTGGGCGGAAAAGATAATTACTTTAGATGTTGTGTTCTTATAAACAAATGTTCCACTAGTTGATATAACCGAGTTTATATGCAAAAAAATATTCGGAAAATAAATAAACAATATGAAAGAAGAATTAATGGGATAACAATGAACTCACATATAGGATCAAAAATAACTTATTTCTTTCTACATAAATTAAAAATTGGATTCGTCACGGAAGAGATCGATAAAATGAAGCTATACATCCGTTGTATCAATAACACAAATGTCATCATAAATGAGAATCAATGATTTGTGATTCAGTCACTGTGTTTAAAACTGGTCCTTGAATTTCGTTATACTCAGAAGTTACGTGGAGTCGAATGTAAGTATTCTGTTTTCATTTTCACTACATTGGGGAATATAGCACAATTAAATTGCACTACTAAATCTTATTGTAAGACAGACTGATAATATAGCATATCAACTCCACAATGTAAGGGCTCCGTGAATGGATAGATGGAAATGTTGTCATGTGCTCAACAGATTTCAGGTTTTTTCAATACCATTTAAATAAAAACACCACATTTCAACATTAACATACACCAATAAATAATATTCAGGCACGTATTCACTTGAATCGATTGTAAAATCAATGAACTCACTTGATCGCTGTTAATTGGACTCAACGATGAGATCACTTGTTTACACGCTACATCAATGTTCACACTCTGTGGATTATCGGCACCATATTTCTCCAATAGACGTCTTCTGGCATCTTCAGCCTTTCGTAGATTTCGACATGCCATGATGACTCGAGCACCACGACGAGCTAATTCACCAGCTGTCACTAACCCAATACCAGTGTTCGATCCAGTAACAATGGCTAACTTGCCATCTAATCGTTTTGAAATACAACATGCTTTGTGCCAAGTCCCAATCGTCTCAGACATTTATCGAACTAATTGTATACTGGTCGTACGTTATGTGCAAAGCTATGTTTACAAATTCGGATGGATTCTCAGTTCAGATCAGAAGAGTGTCACAATTTGAGAGACGTGGTTTTAACCAATCGGTTCTCAACAACCTATCCGTATGTGGAATGTTGTAGACTTTGAAAGTGACTATAATAATGTGTCAAGGTAGAGAAAGAAATACGTGATTTCAAAGGTGTCATTTGTTAATTTTCTTCCAATAATGTGTAGGGTAATATGATTTCACTGTGTGAATCGATTGTTGCTAACAGAGAAACAGAGTATGTGAGCAATTAATTAGGTGGCCAGATTCATCAATCGATTTCAGTTCTAGAGTCATTAAGCAATCAGTTGACCATAATACAAGATGGGTATTAGACTTTTTTCACTAATATTTTGTCATATAATGATTTAAAAGATTAAGCACGAATTTTTGCGTCAAAGTTTAATTAAGATATACTGCATATTTTTTGTTCAAATTTTAGAATGCAATAAAGTTGATAATCAATTTCTGAGTGAATTCAGCTTGAATTGTATCACTAATTACATCTCCATAAATCAAGCATGAATGACTTCTTAAAATGTGAAAACCTTACATTAAATAGATTATTTGTACATCTCCTTCTAAATGTTTCTTACAGACTTCATTGTTCCTTCATTCTTGTTGTTATCACAATTACTCTCAGTTTACATTCCTGTTGTCTTCAAGTTGATCTTCTCAATCGTCTGCTGTCCAACATTCCACTTCGGATGAGTGTTACGTACTACTTATATCTGTCAATAGAATTAGCATACACTACTGTCGTCTCCCACTTTAAAAGAAAGTCACTCCTGATGTGCCACTTCCTTCTTTGCCTCGGTCTGTGCCACGCTGTCTATGGAAGTGTCGAGTCTGCAGGTGCACTGACCTCCGTAAAAATGTCGATCTTGCGGACCATCTACATGCGATGTCCACCCGTCGACCGGATGTCTCACTACTTCTCTCCGTCGACTGAGACTGTTAGATCCAACGCCGCACTGCCAGGCATTTCACTTCTGATTGATGTTATATGTTAGTTATATCTGACAACATGAGTATCATATATCACATGATGATCGGAGTGTGTTTAGATTTGTCATTGGTAGTCAGTTGCGTAAATTTAGCTTTCAAAATATTCCAGTCCTTACGAAATGTTATTTATGATTTTAAGTAGAATACCAATTCTTGTTTTGTTTATAATTCGATCTGGACTTTTACAAACTACATGAATTCAAATTCTACACTTACTTCATATCTTTGTGAAACATCATCATAAAATTGACGGAGATGATCCTAAAAAAAGTCTCGATTCATGGTCACTGTTTTTAACATGAAGGTATTTCAAACAACATTATCTCCGTGATCCACTCTACATGACTATCCAGAACTTCTGTGCATATTGGTATTAACTGATACATTGAGAAGTATGTGTCTAAATGTTTTTAGATTAGTTTACATCATGATATTTTTGACCAAATCGATCGATTTTAATTAAACTACGTCAAGTTCCATTTCTAATCTAGTTAGTAAAATAAAATGGATTGTAAAATAGACGGTCTGAATCTAATGCAATGAAAATAACCTATACTTCAATCATTGTTCACCACTGAAGATTCACTATGTAATACTTAGTATAAAGCGTCATTTATCAGTTGTGAGATTTATACATATACTTCTGTTGTGCTATCGGAACCCTTACACTAATGCTAAAGACGTTGGCACTAAAAGATAAATGAGAGCTTCCGAAGTTCACTAATATTTAATATCCCAAGCAATAATCGAGTTATTCAAGATATCTTTTAGTAACTACTTTGTTTTATATTGATTATAAGAAATGTAAGTGACAAAGTGACGGTTTCATTGGTATCTCCAACAATTGATTAAACAAACATTATGATCGTGGATAAACAATGCACTGGAGATCAATCATGTATTGTATGAATGTTTTTACAACGTAGTTTTATTTGTGATGAAAACATTTTGTCAATCTTATAAGGCTGTTTATGAAATAAATCTACATTCGTTGATTAGCTAGTGGTTGAATATTCAGTGGCAAATCTCTGTTATCATACGCTTACGTGATTTGCTCTAACATTCGAACAGATAGATTAGTTTAATCTTTATTATTATTATTATTATTATTATTATTAAACTACATGGATTAACCACTGAATGGTTGTGACCTATGTTACATCGCCCATGCTATGAATGAGTGGATAAATGGATATGGCATGTTGATTTTGTACGAAAGATTAGTTGTTAACGGTTGAACATCTAACAACCTGTGATGCATTCACATTTCATTTTGATTGTCATTCATTACAAAACGCATTTCCTGTCGGTTTGGTTGGTTAAGTAGAATGTGAGAGAGAGGGAGAGAGAGAGAGTAGACCACAGATAAACCGATGCTACCTAGTTCGTTCACTGGAGACTAGTAAGTATTCCACCTATATTTATTGAAACTACTGATATTGATAGATTAGTAAGCATATTATATATTCATGTATGCGTATATTTGTTTCATTAATAACTAGCCTTAACATGTCCACGTGAATAGTCGAAATTTTTTTATGCATTTTCAACTTTTAAACCAAAATACAAACAAAATCATTGGTTTGGAAATGTGAAATAAACTCTTGATTCAGTTAAAAGTAACAATTGTCTATGTTGTATTTTCGATTCTTAATAGTTCACATGTCTTGTTCCAAAACCATTTTCTTTCATCTTTATTCTTGACAATTGTTGACGGTTCTTTCAATGCACAATTTGAATAGTAACCACCAGGGATTAAATTGTCTGACAACACTGTGTACAATGTAGTTTGTGCTCCTTTCCATGGACTGATAAAGAATGGTTTTAAAACTCGAACGAAACATTTCTAATAAAAGGAATTTTAACAAAAATTTGAAGAATATTAATTTCGTGTGTTAAGTGAGTTTTTAAGTATTATTGCCAAGGTTGAACTTGATAATCTGAGATAAATTGAGCATTGTATTGTCAGTTATTAATAAACATCTTTTTGTTATATCCGAACGAGATATGCAACAATCAATATATTTATCATCAAGTATTAAATTTATGTATTCAAAATATTCGAATATTATTTTACTAGAATATTCTAGAACAAAATTGTTCCAGGGGGCTAGAGACAGCTAGGTATGTAATGAATAAACGCTGATAATAATGAATAATATGAGTACAGTTTAATTATTCGTGGATTGGTTGAAGTCATGGATTAACACTGTTGGGTGCTGGCTTAGTGGTCTAGATCTGAAGCGTTCTTGCACGAGAGCGATAGGTCCTGGGTTCGAATCTCTCGAGTCTGGATCGTGGATGCGCAGCACTGAAGAGTATCACATTAGGACGAAACAGCTGTCCAGTGCTTCCAGGTTTCCCCGGGTGGTCTAGCTTCAATTGACTCATGAATTCAACTATTAGATAAAAATAAAATTACTAATCTAGAAGACAGTCGAAATAAAAAGATGTCATCATGTAATTAATTGAAGTGGAGAATTGAACAAAGTTTTTATTGTGTAACAAAGGAATATTTGTCACACAGGTATAGAAAGATTAACAATTATCTCCTTTAGTACACAAAACTCAGGTTTCTGACGCCTGATAGCACCAGCTTCGGGAAACTAGAAGACTGCAGCTTGTCTGTATATTAATTGCATTGAAACATTGCAAGGTACCGACCCGATATCCTATATTCAAGAGATGTTTAGTAATTGCGTTGTTTAAAGCAGTTCTCTTTTGTTCGAAGGCTTTTTGGAACATGTTCAAAATATCTGCGACATGACATCCTTTTTGTCCGTTCAATTCAACTGCTACGGCAGGTACTCGTAAACTTATAAACACAGTTGGCGATAACATATAAGGGGTGGTTGCCGACCTTCGTCTGTGTTATTGAACATGTTGTTTTATGCAGTATTAATTATTTGGCTGACGTGCATGTTTAAGCTTATTCATTATTAGGCCGCCTGCTGACTGGGCTTGCGACATCATCACCTTTGCATTTGAGAGTTAACGATACTGGTTTTTTCTTGACCATAGTCACACCCTTCTTTTTTTCTTTTATTTTTTTCGATTATCAAGGCATCGATAGCGTGGATTGTTTGAATTCACAAGAATTGATATAAAAGAGAACTGATCAGTGGATAACTATCGAAATGAGTTACATCAATCACTCATTCGAAAACGTTAGTAATCGGTATTCAAAATACAGACATCAGCTGGATCTAATCGATTAAGTTGTCAGGGTGTGACTGATTTTAAGACTATACTAGTTTAAATATAGTTTGTTCAGTGATCACTTTATGAATTAAAATGCGCGGTAAGACTATAATTTATGGAAGAATCAATCAGATTTACGATAACAGGTCCCAACCGCTACTCCTACCTTGACGTGGTGATCAGGCCTACCTATCATGGTGAACCAACCGATCTATACTGGCTGCAACAATCATTCATCAAGGTCCTACCATGTCAGGCACATAGGCTGAAGAACGTATGACTAAAAGCAGCAAACACAAGGTCTGAGGGTGAAGTCGTAATGCTGACTGTACAGAAGTGTGACGGCAGTAAGCCTCTTCCCTCACACAACCAGCATGAAAGCGATGCTGCACTCCCACAAGGAAGAGTGAGGTTAGAATACGTTGACCCTAAAGATGCACACCTCACCTTATCTCACGGATGTTCGTTTTTTGGGCTATCAGGTCTCAACAAGTACGAAGCTAACACAAAAGTCGCCTACAAAATGGTGAGTACTGCGGTTACGCTCTCAGGTTACTAAGACCAACTGTAACCTGATTTCCTGTTCAGGTAGCTCTAGAAGATGATAACAGTTTTTGGATTTTGGTGCGAAATTTATTTATCGATTTGATTAGAAAGTGTCTTGGCATTTTATCTGATGTCAGTTGGTGATGGGAACCCCGAAATCTATTTCCTAACCCTAACCATCAACTGTAAATCCTAATTCTAATTCCTCACACTTGTTTATAACCCTGAATTAGATCTAGTCAGTAGGTGGACATTCTCAAGTTCACCTTCGCGTTACTTAAAGGTCGTCCATAAATTATAGTCCCACCAAATATGTTCGTTCATGAAATTTCACCCGATAAAAATAATCAAAATCGAAAGTGCTGGTGCTTTAATAATCGACATCTTTATAGTATTTTATTTATTGAGATAAATTTCTGTTCGATAATGAATTATTACCAACATTACAAATATTAAATTGTAAGGTATGGTAATAATAAAATGCTAATCTAAACTATGGGTATAAAATTGAATGTAGACATTATATTTTTAGTTTATCGCGAGACAATCAGTTGTCAAACACGAAATTTCAGCTTGAATTTTGTGTTTTTCAGTGATGATACGATGCACAAAAGTGTAACCTTACTGACAGTTTTGTGATCTTTTTGTTATATTATGAGTAACAAATAATCATACTGTCTCGATCGAACAACAGCTAGAAGTCTTTAGTATACATTCAGTCGTTTGATCGACGGGTATAACTTCTGAAATTTACGAAGTTTGTGACTTGATTCTAAGAATATATTGTCTATCCGATCACTTCAGCTATTTTGCTACTTTCTTAACGAATTGTTACTATCACATAACTGCAGTTATAAAAAACACACAAAAAGACTCGGTAAACACTATAGACACCTTACAAGTTGAGGTTTCTAACTCATTTTTGTATATTATTCTATAAAGAACAGCTATTTTAGACCAATCACTATTTTGTAAATTTCGATTTTGTGAGTATCTCAATTACGTCCTAGTATGGGACTCCTCAGCAGTGCGCATCCACGATCCCGCCCCCGCGATATTTGAACCCAGGACCTATCAATCTCGCACACGAGCGCTTAAGCATTAGACCACTGAGCCAGCCGGCATCCAACGGTGTTTATGTTTAACCTCAACTAATCCACGAAATTGCGCCACCGTCACCATTGTGTTCAGTGAGCTGATATCTCACAGCAGACTTGGTTGATATTATTCCAACGTCATTTAATTTAATTTAAAAATTCAAACATAGTTAATAGATAAAATTTAATTCAATAAATGTTCAGAATAAACTGAATTTTTATGTATTAAATATTTCTATTATCTTGTAAGTATTTGTTTAGTTATTGGTTTTCTATTCACTAATATATCATTGAACTTAATAGTAAAATCTAATTTGAAAGCTTTATTTATCAGAAAAATGACCTCATCTTCATATGTTACATAGATTATGATCAAATCAAATTCAACTATTATAGACCGTTATAAACAATGTGTAAAGTCAATAACTAGACGATAATCACTATCCATCTTTGCTTATAATGTTTGTGAATTAAGGCTTCATCGGGGGAATACGTACATTATGTATATATGCCAATAAGAGACTGATCAATTGCAGTGCTAAACATCAATAGGAAGATTCAAGTAAACAATACCAAGTGAATATAAATTTCAATTATTTAATCTTCTGAGAAATCGGAATTCAGTACTGTGTCGTTTAGATAAGTACTCAGGTGATTATACTTTGCGATCGTTATAACTAACCTATTAGAGGATCGTCGATTTTATATTTTATCTATAACTTGTTTGTATGATCATGGCAGTGTTGATGTTACTTGGCAAAATGATGGGTTTTTTTATACAAACAGATTGATAGGTTCAATAAGCAATTCACAACATTATCCTAAATTTCAAGATTTCTTCTAATTCTGTAGAAATGTGTTTTTATTAAGCTATTCATGTTTTTGTAATTACATCTGTTAAAGAAACTAGGTTACTGCCGAAAAAGCAATGAGTATCAATGATTACGGAAGGGGATCACTTACCATTACACCACTTTTTATATCTCGGTCGAGATCAGTCTTTACAGCACCAGGGTGTACACTAACAACAGTTATTCCACTGTCCTGAAGTCTATCACCTAATTCAGCAGCATGCATTGCATTGGCTAACTTTGAATCACAATATGCTTTCAACTGACTATATTCATTCTCTTTTAACTGTAAATCTGGTTTAATTAAATGACCTTTATAATGCGCCATTGATGAAAGATTAATGATTTTAGATGGAGTTGAACGTTTTATCAAAGGTAATAACAATTCCGTTAGTAGGAATGTTCCAAAATGATTAACACCCATTGTCATTTCAAAACCGTCAACAGTTTTCTCATATTTACTAACTGTAAGACCAGCATTGTTAATAAGAAAATGAAGTTCTGGATATGTGACTATAATACGTCGAGCAAATTCTCTGATTGATTGTAGAGAAGCCAAATCAAGTTGTTCAATGATTAACTGAAAGGTGAATTCAAAATTGAATGCAATGATAATAGGTACTACATAATATATACTAAAATAAAACAGTTTCAATACAATAAAATTGTTTAAGAAATTAATTTATTTTAAACAGATTTAAATAATCTTTGTGTTATGACCTTAGCTATACGATTATCGCGAAATACAACTGTCATTTTAGATACACCGATTTATACGACCAAACTAATGATGCATAAAACAGTACGGGCAACCTCGAGTTCCGATTGGTATTTTTCCCTCCTAGCCCTCTGCTTGTTAAATCCAGAACGCCAATCTCAGCCTCCGTGATACGAATCATATATTTCAAACATACTTGGTTTATATACAAGCAAAACCAGACCACATCACACTATAAAATAGAAAATAACATTTGTACAAGATCATGCCAAAACGTGGCCGTGACTGTTACTAATAAATTGGGAATATCTCAAGAATAGTAAATAGTATGATAATGATCAATAGGTCAAATAAAAGCTTATAATGAAAGGAATATGAATATACATAAAATATATATATTCGTATAATATTGGTCCATAAATAATTACTAGCGGTTAAATTTCATTTATTCTCGTCCGGATATAACACTTTACATGGAACATCATTTCGTTCAATGAACAGAAAATCACAAACCATTATTTTTAAAAATGTTATTAGTGTGTGCAGGGGTTTGTGAAAATCGGTTCAATTCATAGTTTAAGTCATTTCTAGTTGTAAGTCAAACATTTAAATAATTTCAGAAGGGGTTTTGTGGATATTATAGTAATTTAAATGGTTGAGATCATGAGTCGATTGAAGCTAGACGACCATGGAGAACATGGAAGCACTGGAAGACCGTTTGGTCCTAGTATGGGATACCTCAGCAGTGCGCATCCATGATTCCACCTTGCGATATTCGAACCCAGAACCTATCAATCTCGCAAACGAGCGCCTAACCATTAGACCACTGAGTCATTTTTTATGGAGTTTTGTTCTCTGAGCTGGATGGTTTGGTCGTGGAGCTTTCATCGTTCTTCTGAACGACATCATCAGCACAAACTTCAGATAGAAGTGAAGTGTTCGAATTTCTCCATATGCGTTTCACAGCTTGTTCTGTGCACCTCGATGTTGATTGGTTCTTATTGACCTTAAATTTGTCATTGTTTACTTTTTATCAAAATAAATTTCACGAATACTGAAACGTTTAGTCGATTTATTTAACCACTCCATCAAATCCCCTACACAATTCCTAGACCAAATTAAGGACATTCAAATCAACAACGACGAACTAATGATATCCTTCGATGTAACAGCATTATTCACCTCAATCGAACCAAGGTTAGCAAAAGAAACTATATCCCTGCTCCTCGCCAACGACACAAATCTCACAAAGTACACAAGGCTTCGAAGTCAAAGTCTACTAGAACTCGTCGACTTATGCCTAACAACATATTTTCAGTTCAATAACAAAATCTACGAACAAACGAAAGGGACACCAATGGTGTCACCAATATCAGGACTGATCGCAGAAGCAGTGATGCAAAGACTAGAAGCCGCGATATTACCAGTGATCAAACCAAAAATTTGAATTCGATATGTAGACGACACATTCGTTATCGTCAAAAAGAATGAGCTAGAAAACACTTACAAACTGATCAACAACGTCTTCGGTGACATCAAGTTCACAATGGAACAGGAGGCAAACAACAAACTACCATTCTTGGATATATTAATCACTAGAACTGACACAGGAAAACTAGAAACTCAAGTATATAGGAAACCGACCCACACAGATCAAATTCTAAACTACAATAGCAACAACCCAAGAGCACATAAAATCAACTGCGTACAAACTTTGTTCAAGAGGGCGAGGACACACTGCAGCACACTGGCAACACGAAGAAAGGAAGAGAAATACCTCAAGGAAGTATTTCAAAAAAATGGCTACCCGATCAACTTCATCAAAAAATACCAACCACATGCAGCATCAGAGCACAAACCAAGCACAGAAATCAACAAACGGATCACCCTACCATACATAAATGGCATGTCAGAAACCGCAACAAGACTGCTAAAAACCTTCGGGATAGGTGTGGTACACAAACCGACAAAATCACTACAGTCAATCCTATGCAAACCAAAGGATGAAATAACAAAAGAAGATAAATCGAACATCATCTACAAAATAAATTGTGTCAACTGCGACAAACACTACATCGGACAAAGCGGACGCCCCCTTCACCTGCGCCTACATGAACATCAATTAGCAGTCAAACGGCATGATATCTCCTCACTTATATCAATACACGTGGACAACTGCGGACACACATTCGATTGGAAAAATGTGGAAATCTTGAACAGAGGAAAGTGCAAAAACACAAGAGAATTTTTAGAAGCCTGGCACTCAGGTAATCAGCAATCAACAAGCATATTGAAATCGATCCGATTTATCAACCAATCAGGAAACTTATGCACAAATATAGGAACAAGAATCAAACCGATAGGAGACAAAACCAAGACAAAAAAGTAAACAATGACAAATTTAAGGTCAATAAGAACCAATCAACATCGAGGTGCACAGAAAGCTGTGAAACGCATATGGAGAGATTCGAACACTTCACTTCTATCTGAAGTTTGTGCTGATGATGTCGTTCAGAAGAACGATGAAAGCTCCACGACCAAACCATCCAGCTCAGAGAACAAAACCCCATCAAAATCATCCACCTGAGCTACAAATCATCTCCACCACTGAGCCAGCCGGCATCCAACGCTTAACCTCTAGACCACTGATCCAGCATCTAACGGCGTTAATATATAGCCTCAATCAATTATTGAAGTTATGAAGAGACTTCATGACCAGTGAAGTCCAATTATTATTTCCTTTGCAAAATATGTATCATCAATATCTCTCACATTCACAGCCACTTTTGGCTAGATCTTATACAAATGTTGTTTTTCTATTTTGTAGTGCGATATGGTCTGCTTGGTGTGTATATATGCGCGAACCTCTAATGTCTGGATCATTGAGCTAGCTTCAAGCGTTATATATGTCTGGTGTGTGGTAGTGAAAGTAAAATATGATTGGTCACTGGGCGTGAACAAACAAACACTTAACCTACAGACTACTAAATATATAATTTCTTTTCCTCACATTGATTTCTACTCCGGACTCACTGAGACTGACTGCTTGTAATTCTGTTGAATCAAGTATTATCTGGTCTATACTCTGGTTCTTTATTCTGGGTCGTGAATTCTGGATATAACAATATATATATTTTGAAAATAATAATTACCGAACTCACGCTAGTTTACACGCCCGACCGATTTGATATAAATAGTAACATTAGATGTAGAGAACAAACATGTGATATGACGTGGTTAGTCTCGTTATCGTATTAACGTATTATACTTGAGAGAGAGGAAAATATTCAAATCATTAAATCTATCACTTGAGTTATCACATATAACTGGCAAATAATAACATAAACCAATAGCTAATGATAGACTACGTATTCAGTTTAATTCTGGAAATAATGAACTTACTTGATCACTGTAGATAGGACTCAACGATGAGATCACTTGTTTACACGCTACATCAATGTTCACACTCTGTGGATTATCGGCACCATATTTCTCCAATAAACTATTTTTGGCATCTTCAGCTTTACCTATATTTCGACATGCCATGATGACTCGAGCACCACGACGAGCTAATTCACCAGCTGTCACTAACCCAATACCAGTGTTCGATCCAGTAACAATGGCTAACTTGCCATCTAATCGTTTTGAAATACAACATGATTTATAACATGTGCCAGTGGTTTCAGACATTTACCAATATTGTATGTAGTAGTTTAAGGTAATATGTTAAAATATATATGTATTTATCCATGATTTAAATCAATAAATCGTAACCTTTAAAATGATTCACATTTAACCAATCAGCTTTTCATAATTTATTTACAATAATACAGATTAATGAAAACTGACCATGACTTGTTTATTATTTCTGTCCTAATTTTAGTTCAATTCTGTTACCGATGTTCAAAATGGTGCATATACCATTACATATTGTTTATTAATAGTTCGGTTGATGAGCATTATCATGAACATGTACCAATTCTTGACTGATAAAGCAATTACTTAGATAATGCTATTAAGATATATTTCAGTGAGTAGTTTATGAAATATACATTAAGGTACTGATATTTGCCTTCATTTAATGAATTCAGTCTTTCAAAAATAATTGTGAATGGAAATCGGCATGATTATACTTTATGGAAGAATCAATCAGATTTACGATAACAGGTCCCAACCGCTACTCCTACCTTGACGTGGTGATCAGGCCTACCTATCATGGTGAACCAACCGATCTATACTGGCTGCAACAATCATTCATCAAGGTCCTACCATGTCAGGCACATAGGCTGAAGAACGTATGACTAAAAGCAGCAAACACAAGGTCTGAGGGTGAAGTCGTAATGCTGACTGTACAGAAGTGTGACGGCAGTAAGCCTCTTCCCTCACACAACCAGCATGAAAGCGATGCTGCACTCCCACAAGGAAGAGTGAGGTTAGAATACGTTGACCCTAAAGATGCACACCTCACCTTATCTCACGGATGTTCGTTTTTTGGGCTATCAGGTCTCAACAAGTACGAAGCTAACACAAAAGTCGCCTACAAAATGGTGAGTACTGCGGTTACGCTCTCAGGTTACTAAGACCAACTGTAACCTGATTTCCTGTTCAGGTAGCTCTAGAAGATGATAACAGTTTTTGGATTTTGGTGCGAAATTTATTTATCGATTTGGTTATAGAGTGTTTTTTCACTGAATAATAAGCTAATATTACCAGGGTAGGTTTAGGGTGATAATATTAGCTTATTATCCAGTGATGAGGTTTCAATTTATTTTCACATTATTTTCTTTATTATCCTTGTCTCCCCTTACCTTCCATTTCTAGTCTAGTTGACAAATATGTAATGTGTGATCTCATTGTTCGAAATGTATTGCTCTTATACATCACATAGTTCTGACAATCTTCGTCTTCTCATTGGATTATCGAAATTTATCCAAGGGACTAATTGCTTTATGATATATTAACTACATTTTAAGAAGTAACATTAGTCTTATGATAATGTAATTTTGTATTCAGACAGTAAATTCTTAATTAATTAATGTTGGGTACCATTCACTTTAACTCAAATAAATCTGACTACTGACCAGTGTGGTTAAAAATCACATAAAATTTAATATGTTCAGATATTCATTTGATTTTAGTTTGGTTGTTAAATTAATTTTCTCAAAAAGAGGTTTTTGTGGATATTATGGTAATTTAAATGGTTGAGATCATGAGTCGATTGAAGCTAGACGACCATGGAGAACATGGAAGCACTGGAAGACCGTTTGGTCCTAGTATGGGATACCTCAGCAGCGCGCATCCATGATTCCACCCCGCGATATTCGAACCCAGGACCTATGTCCATCTCATATTTTCTTTTTCCAACTTTGGATCGTGGGATTCATAAGTTCAACTGATCAGTACTAATTATTTGCTATAAAACAACTCTCAACGTATTTCAGAGGGTATAAAAAGAAACAACATCATCTGTATCAGTTTTTATGTTCTTATTTGCATTTTACGAATTGGAGTGATTTTCAGTCTCAAGTATTAATAATGATTACACAATTACAAAAATGATACAAGTTAAAAGGTTTTTCATTATAAATTAAAAGATCAGCATAGAATGAAACAATTCTATAGTTTTTCAATAGTTGAATTCATGAGTTAAGTGAATCTGGACCACCATGAAAAATCTGGAAGCCCTGGACAGCCGTACGTCCTATTGTGGGACTCCTCACCAGTGTGCATTCACGATCCCACCACGATCCCCCTCTCTCTGATTATAATTCCATAGTTATTTAAAAGGTAGGTTATTTATAGTTTTAATCAAATTCATGTGTAAATAATTGTTCAATTATATTGAAAAATACTGATGTTTATTAGCTTATATATAGTAATAGATAGGCAAATGAAAGTGATCATTGTGAGGTGTTACAAAACTGAGAAAAATTTTAAATTAAGTAAACTTTATGTATGCCTAAGGGATTTCAAGACCAAGTAGTTTGGAGTAGGACATTATAATGTCATGAAAAAATAAAAATAGTCCAAATTTAAATTTTATTACTGTTAAGATTCAATTAAACACAAGATCATTTGGTAATTCAGTTTGATTTTCGTTTAGTATAAAATTATTTGCATTAATTACGTCTGTTAGCCGAATACCATCAGTAACAATCAACTCTGTGAGAGAACAAACTAGATTGTAGTTGAAGAGGAAATTAGGAGAGGACTTTGGAAGTGGATAAGACATGCATTGAGGAAATCACCGAACAATATCACGAGGCAAGTACTAATTTGGTATCGTGAAGGAAAACGGAAAAAGAGGAAGACCAAAGAACACACTGTGTTGAGAATTGGAAGCAGACATGAAAATGATGAATAGCAACTGAAATGAACTAGAAAAGATTTATGAGGACAGAGTTAGATGGAGAATTCTGGTAGGTGTTCTATGCTCCTCTATGAGGGGTAACAGGCCTAAGTAAGTAAACTACGTTCAATGTATAACAAACAAGATGTGCTTTGTTTTAATTTTCTGATGTATTTTTTCTATTTCTACCACGCATAATATTCATTGACTAGTCATCAAAATATCAGTAAAATTTATGTATAATTGAGTGTATTTATTTTAAATGGTCTCCATGCGTCGGAAAGTGAATAAAATCTGCTCTTACCATCTTTTATGTTTAGTTCTTCGCATCGTGCTAATCTCACTTTCCCCTTGTTCCAAGTACCGGTTTTCTGTGGTTATACCAACTACAAATAAATAACAATCTGTAGTGAATAGATGTTTTGTCTTATTTTGTGACTGATTGCATACATTATTTCATACACGTAGAATACTTACTTAGTTACTTACGCCTGTTATTCCCAATGGAGCATAGGCCACCGACCAGCATTCTCCAACACACTCTGTCCTGGGCCTTCCTTCCCAGTTCTATAAAATTTTTGTTCATTTTTCTCATGTCTGTCTCCATTTCTCGACATAATGTCTTCTTTGGTCTTCCTCTTTTCCTTTAGCCTTGAGGATTCCATGTGAGGGCTTGTCTTGTGACGCAATTGGGTGCCTTCCTCAATGTATGTCCTATCCACTTCCAACGATTCTTCCTGATTTCTTCTTCCACTGGGATCTGGTTTGTTCCCTCTCACAGTTGGTTGTTGCTGGTAGTGTCTGATCAACGAATCCGAAGTATTTTGCGTAGACAGCTATTAATAAACACTTGTATGTTCTGGATGATGGCTTTCGTAGTTCACCAGGTTTCCGCCCCATACAGTAGAACTGTTTCGACATTTTTATTGAAAATTCTGACTTTGGTGTTGGTTGACAGTTGTTTTGAGTTCCAGATATTCTTCAGTTGTAAATATGCTGCTCTTGCTTTGCCGATCCATGCCTTCACATGTGCATCAGATCCACCGTGTTCATCGCTAAAAAAACGCTAACCAGAAAAAATTATTCAAACACGTAAAATACAGCATTAATGAAATAAAGATAAACAGAATTAATTGAAAGTTGATTTGATTGAGTGAAGTATCAGATAAATAAATAATTCTAGAAATTTCAGTAACATATCTATGAAATTGTTGATAAAGATAGAAAACAAGAAATGGAAGTAGGTATTGTTTACAAATTTATTTATATGAAGGTTGATTAATGAGCATCTAGCCTTTATTCTGACTTCAGTTGATAACGATTTGGAAACACAATTTCTTAGTTAACTTCATTATTTATTTATTTAATTAAACACGTAAACATTGGTACAGGGAGGCACCAAACAAAAATGCGCCACATAAATTACTCGATTTATGTGAGGGCCGGGATATTATTGCCCGGGTGCCCAAACCGAAGCAGGTGGTTTTCTAAGGGGGCAATAACTCGAACCTTTGACCTAAAGGTCTAATCCACAAGGCATGTAAGGAGATACGGTCCCATGGTAGCCGGTGATCAACAATTGATTCATGCACCATTTGTTTCCTTAGGATCCTGAAGACCATGTGCATCAGTGGTCTGGAATCAGGGTTTTCTAACTCCCCTAGATGGATCCTTCGTATTCAACAACCAGGTTAAAGCGCCGGACATTTGCTTTTCGTCCTCTCAATTTCGTAAACAACACCCCCACCACGAGAAGACAGTGAGTATGACTTCCCTGTCAGTGATTGTATGCACATGGCCATTTGAGAGCATTTCGAGTGGGAGAGCTGATTCTCCCCACTCTCAACGTACCAGGGCATTTGAGGGTCTTATGGATACCTTGACCAAATCTCGTTAGTAAAACTGCATAATATAAGTTGAATATAAATGTTTTTAAAAGGTATATATCATTTCATGTTTACATATCAGTAGACAGACAATAATAGATGAATATAGAGTGAGGAGACATTACTAGCTAACTCATTTAAATAAGTTTGAATCTCAATTTATATAGTTCGTATCGACAAAAATATTATAGACAAAATAATATAGACCAACACAGTGTAACTAAAACAGTTAAAACAACACTTGTATAGGTCAAATAAGTTCATACAATGGTTTGCAACATTCTATCATATTAATTCATAATACAATTGTAAATTAAGTACTGATTAAGTGTTTTTATTATGTTCCAAGTGTATATACTTACAATTAAATGTTTACATCTGAATCTATTTACTAAAATGTATATTAATAGTATCAAGAAAAATGTTTGTCTATAAAATCAGTTTCTCATAATTTT